AGTGGGGAAAGGCAACAATGAAGAAATGGGCTGAGTTCAACCACCGTCCATTGACTCCCGTTGACCTGGAGATGAGAGAAAGAAGAGGAAGGGCTGGTTGGTCCAAAGTGTGGTGAGACCTGAGGACACTTGAGCCCATGGACAAGGACATAACCACAGAGTTAAGAGTGAAGAGTTAAGAGTGAAGCTGATATAAAGTGAGGGGAGACACACAAGAACACCCAAACTTGCAGATAGTACCCATCTGACCTAGCCTCGATGGCTTGATAATTAGAACTCGACTAGAGGAAGATAAGAAAACAATTTTTGATAAAGAAAATGAGGATAAATTGCTACAATTTAATGAACTTGACCTATACTCAACTCAGGTAGTAGCTCAAAATACCAACAGTGCGGGAAGGAGTCTTCACATCAAGTATTAATGCTATTCTCTCTGTATACAGGGTAGATAGGGATGGGCAACTTAGATATTGGATACCTAAAATGAGGGGGCGATAAAGGCACAAAGTGACTGGCTTACAAGGTTTCAAGAGGAAGTTTAGTTTAAGAGTGTGGGGGGGAAGATGAGTCCCCACTGAATAGTTTTCATCTTGTCTAGATGGGTCTGATAAAAAGAGATGGGGATAAGATTCTTATGATTCAGTAGTGAGTAATTGTTATCATGACTAATTGTGACTGTCACAATTGTAAACGGAGAAGTTTTGTAACAAAAATTGGGGAGTAGTTAATCTTACAGTCCAGAAACAGAGGACCCTAGTACCATCAAAGGAGAAGAGCACAAGCGGAATGCAGGACCTTATCCAGAAGAACAGCCACACCAGAGTTGGAGGCAAAGATGGGAACATGGAGAGAGGGAGCAGCTGAGGACCCTAGATTCATAGAAAGAGAGGGACTGAGAGCTGGTGGACAGGAGACAGACTTGCAGAATGTGCCCTTTGATGGTGTAATTATATATGCCTGAGTGTTTTAAAAAAAAAGAGCTAAAATGAATAGAGAGAAATACTGTTTACTGATCGTATATGGTAGGGATTATAATCATAGTAATGAAACAAAGTATATGATTTGTTGAATGTAAAACTGATGATCTGCCCTGAAAACTTTCACTCCTTTTACAATAAAAATGTTAAAAAAAACAACCCCAAAAAACCTGACAGCTTTGCTCTTCAACATTTTAATGAGGTCTTCTGCAGCAGATTTGCCCAATGCAATATGTCATTTAATATGTTGACTACTACTCCCATGAAATTTCTAAGAAATTTGGAAGATAGTTACCTGGTCAACTGATTGGAAGAGGCAAAGGCCACCTTGAGTCAACAGGAGGCGCTGTGTTGTTTGAGCTCTAGGTTTTGCTGAGAAGCGTCAGTGTGTGTAATTCTAGCAGGCCGTGGGGATGTCTGTAAGGACCTGCAGCTGCTCTGAGAGGCCTTCACAGGGTCTGGGCCATGACCGACATGGGGTGTGTGCATGTGTGTGGTGGCCGGGCATGTGTCTCTCTCAGGCAGGGGTATGGCAGCTAGGCATGCACTTGAGGTGCAGGGGGTGTGGAGGGACTGGGGTCCTGAAGATTCTCAGCATCTCAGACAGGGCAGTCTATAGGGATGTCACATGGTCCTGATTCCCAAGGAAACACCCTTTCTAAAGTGTTCTCAGTGGCAGTGGTACTTGAATTCCTTGCTTTGTTTCTGCCCAGCCTGTGGGGAGTGGCATCAGAACACACATGGCATCAGAACATGTGCTTTATTACATGACAAAAACAAAACATGCCACCAAAACACGGCTTAAAAAAACACAGTTTCCCACAAAAGTTCATCAGATTGTTGGAGTAGATTCATTAGTACTGCCTGAAGAAGCGGTGTATGATGGGAAAAAAACATGGGTGGTAGTTTTTGAAATCCTGAAAGCATTGCAGTGCTTTATTGACAACAGCAGAAAAGTGTAGACTTGTGTTTCTGAAGCACAGGTAACAGTGACACCCTAGTGGCCAAAGCCAGGCAGGAGACAGGGACAGCAGAAATGGCAGAGAGAGGAGTTAGATGCAACGCTACTTAGGGAAAGCGCCTGGGAACTGCCAACTGCCTTTGAATAACAATCAGTTTAACTTTTACCACTCATCCTCATTCCAGTCCTAGATCAGTGCTGCAGGAGTCCCCAGCTCCCTGCTCATCGTCCAGGCCTCTGGACAGCTTCCTGACCACTCCATCACCACTGGGAATATGTCAAGCCATGGAGGTTTTCATAGTCTTCCCTGATCTCTGAGTTTTGAAGCGCACAGGTCTCAAACCTATTGTAAGGCTGATTGTCCTGTCTTCATCATATGGAAATTTCTATTGGCTCTTCTACTTTTGTGTGTGTGTGTGTTGTTTTTTAACTTTCCAAAGGTGGTCTTCTGTCAGGGGGATATGTGTAAGCTGGTGGGATAGGTGTGTGGGTGTGAGGCATGTGCAAAGCCTCGGGGGGACCCTTGGAAAACACTAGACAGGACCTTCTTGGGTGTCCTTCCTCAGCTGTATGGGTGGGGGTTCCAGGGAGGCCCCTAGGCCCTGGTGATCACATGACTAACCTTTCCCAGGAGCACATGGAGGACCTTGTGAATATCCTAACGATGGATGCAGAGCTGTGGGAGTGAGTGTGGCTGAAAGACACATCCACAGGTAGCCGGGAGTTCAGCCACAACTCAGCCTGGGCCCGTAGGTACCTGGGTGGTGCAAGCGGTGAATGTACTCAGCTGCTAAGTGATATGTTGCAAGTTCAAATCTATCCAGAGGCACCTCAGAAGAAAGGACTGGTGATCTCCTGAAACACCATCCCTTGGAAAGCAACCCAGTTGTACTATGACGCACATGGGGTTATCATGGGTTGGAGTCACTGAGTGGCCCAGGGAAGAACCTGGAGGGCTCTCGAAATGGCAAGAGGAGGCAGTACTGATGGGGCTTGATGTACAGAGACTTGAGTCAGGTACCAGGGTTGAATCCCACTCTGCTGCAAAGGGGGTGGGAGGCCCAGGGCACAGGACAACCTGCTTAAGTGTGAGCAGATGAGAACATGGCTATGTGCGGCAAGAGGCCACATTCCCCTGACGTTACCACGCCCAGCTTATGAGAAGGCCTCAGGCTGCAGTTGCTGCCTGTGATTGGCTGTCTGAGCACTCGGGGCGGGGCTTGTGCTGAGAGGCTAGAGAGTCTCCAAGGGACCTGTGACTTCCCTCCCCCTACCCCCACAAAGAAGCTAACTACCGTGATTTCATCAGAGCAGGCCTAAAGGTTGGAATGCAATGGTTCTGGGCTTCAGGACCTGCACATTGGAATCCCCTGGGCACTTCCAAACCTTGGCCAGCCTGTGCCTCCTCTGGAAAATGTCTCTGGGGTTGCTTGAGGGTGAGAGGAGAGGAACGAGGGAGTTGTCCTAGATACACGGACCACATTACAACAAACAGCTATTTCTAACTAAGTGCAGATAGGCAAGTTTTATGCTTGCAGTTTTCCAAAACACCGTGGTCCTAGCCTGGAAACTGGCCCGTCAGGGTGTTAGAGGGTGGACATGACTCTGAGCCAAAAAGGAACTGGTGTTCTCGTATGTGCTTTCTGATTCACGTGGAGCAGCAGGCGTGGAGCCTGACTTCTGGTATACAGTCTTGGGGACCAAGCACAACAGTGCTCGTGTGACAGCTCAGTGCTGGCCCAGTGGGCATTGGGGCTTCACAGCATAGCCCCCAGACCCATCTGAGTCCAGGATGGCCTTCCTGCTGCCTGCCGCTCCCCCAGGTCTGTGATCCCCACCCCCAGAAAGTCCCCCCACTGCTTTTCTGCCAACAAATACCTCCCCAGGTCCTGTGGCTCTCCCAACCCTGAGACAAAGGGGCCAAGGCAGCAGAGCTGCTTCAACTGGAGCAGAAATACCTACTCGGGACCCTCCCTCTCTTCAGACAGTCATCTCACCGTCCCTTCCCACCAGCCCTTGGGAACCGGCGCTGGACCCTGCTGGTTTAACACCTCTAGGTTGAAAATGATGGCAGAGAAAAGTTTGAAGAAATAAAAGTTGACCCAGCGTTGTAGAAAAGGACACTGTTTATCAAATATTGACAATTTCCAATAGCCTGTTGATTTCCAAACACACTGTTGATTATATGCTGGTGGGGGGGGGGGGAGTCATCTGACACAAGGTGACCATGGCCAGCAGCCTTGGCACAGGTCCTGGTTGGAGGTGGATTCATTAGAGTCTTCTGAACACTTGGTAGGCCAAGTAGCCTGCCCCTGCCGTCACTGTCCCCAGTCTTCTCTTCAATTCCAGCTGAACACTCTTTCTCATTGTGAACAGGAAGTGGGCAGTCAGTGAGGAGTGGGGTTGGAACTAGAGGTCAAGCATATGAGGGGCCCCAACTGGCCCTCAGCCCAGCAGAGGCACTGCCCCACCCAGATTGGGGCGAAAACAGTTTGGGATATTCTCCAGCAAATGAGTGTTTTCTTTGCACAGCAGCGTTGTGTGTGTCACGAGCCAGGATGTGCTCCCAGAGGCCTGCACATACACCCGAGTTCACACCTTCGATACCACCACCGCTGAGCTGCTCATTGTTACCCTGACCCAAAGGACATCAGGAAATACTTGTTGGCAGTCCATCAGCAAAGCAAACCCTTTAATTGGCAAGGGTCTCTTCCTGGAGGTAAGAGTCCTCCAGAGGACAAGCAGAACCCAGGTCCAGTGGCACTGCTCTGGGTCCCACACACCTCTGCTCCAGGCCACGGGGTCCCATCCTGCCTGGGTGACCTGGGTCATGTCTGCCAGGAAGCCCACCTGTAGGTGGTTCCAGAAGTTACCACCAGGAAACTCAGACGATCCGTGGGCAGCTTGAAGACTTGAACCCGTCTCCTGGGGTGGGTGAAGGTCCAAGATGTCCCTTTGGAGCAGCGCCTGACCACAGGGCAGACCTCGTTGCCTCCCTGGGCACAACCCAGAGGCCCCGCCTCTGGAGGGCAGTTTTTGACAAAGAGGCGTGTCCGGTGGCCTCAGTGGATCTCGCCTTCCGTGAGCTCCTCCTTTATGGCGTGCCTGCTGCGAGCCTTGCAGTCTGGAAGGTCGAAGCCGAAGTCCGCCCAGTCATCAGGGCCGGCGGGCCCGGTGCGCCCGGGGATGGTGATGGTGTGGCGTACGCGGAAGTGCACAGCCTCCATGACCCGCTGCCGTTGCAGCTCACCTGTGCTGCCCACCGCAAGGGTGGCGGCCGCGTTGCTGCTGGCCCGGATCAACTGCTGCGTACTGCCATAGTCGTGGCCTTGCTTGAGGTCCTGGAGGCCCCGCCAAATGGTCATCCGGTACTGGTCCGGGATCTTCAGAGCCCCGAGGTCCTGCAAGGGCAACAGTGGTGTGATGAGACCGGAGTGGGAAAGCCACCCTAGTGCCACCTTCTGTGAGGTGGCGGAGGGCCCAAGGGGCAGGGAAGGACCCCACGTGGTCCTGGAACTAACTCAGTGGAAGGCAGTGGGGGACCTAGCAGGAGCGTGCGTCTGACCAGAGACATCAGGGCAGGGCAGAGACAGGCCGTTTAGGGGAGTGGAGAGGTAGAGGGGTGAGAGCAGAGGTGACACGGGGCTGTATGGAGCCCCTCCGTCGGCCCCTCACACAGATGCTAGAAGCACACATATCACGCTGCAACAGATGGACAGATGGGCTCACTCTGCACTCGGGTCTGCTGGTGGGGCGGAGCCTCTGGCCCTGGTCACTGAGGCCTCAGGAACAGCATGAACAGCCTGTACATAGTGGCCATGCTGAGTTAGCTGCTTATCTTGGGTCTCTGGGGTCTGAGTCCTGGGGCTAGAACCAGCAGGAGGAACCTCCATCCTAGACCCAGCAGGGGCAGGAAAGGGGGGCTGCAAGGGGCTCCAGTGACTGGATTGGACTCTCAGGGGACCACTAGCCTAATGCTGGGTGTCCTGGTGAGTCATGGTTCAAGGTGAACCGAGGCTACAAGCAAGGTAAGTCCTTCCTATGTTGGGAGTAATAGGCCAGTGTTCTCATTTAGGGGTCCCTGGGGGGTGGGTGTGCTCAAGAAAGGAGACCTGGTGATGCTGTAAGTTAAGCACTGGACTGCTAACCACAAGGTCAGCAGTTCAAACCCACCAGCCGCTCTGTGGGATAAAGAACAATGTCTACTTTCCTGAAGAGTACAGCCTTAGAAACCCTAACCTCTGGGGTTAGGCATCAACTCGGCGGCTGTGGGTTTTGGGTTTTGGAGTGCTACAGATGGTGATATGCTTAGCTAAAGGAGCTCTGGTTAGCGTAGTGGTTACAAATCGGGCTGTGAACCACAAAGTCAGCAGTTCAAAACTACCAGCTGTTTCGCGGGAGAAAGATGTTTCTGTTCCCGTAAAGATTTACAGCCTCGGAAACCCTGTACAGGGTCGCTATGGGTCGGAACCGACTCCACGGCACATAATAACAACAACAACCAGAAGTTCAAGTCCATCCAGAGTCCTCTTGGAAGAAAGATCTGAAAAATCAGCCATTCGAAACACTGTGGGACACGGTTCTACGCTGACACACAAGAGCGGCGGGGGCGAGGGGGGGGTCACTATGAGTTGGAGGTAGCAAGACAGCAACTGGTTTATTTAATGTAAAGAGATACATGATTGGAGCCGGGGGTGTCCCGCTCTCATGATAGGCCTTCTCTGGGTCTCAGTATCCTCACAGGTAAACCAGTGTAGACCTGGACCCGCACCACCAGCTACCCACGCCTCTCAATCTACAATTCTCTATGCCATGGGGGACAGCAGCCCCATCAAATCAAAGGTGGAGTGACTGCAGGGGGTCAGGATGCTGGCACAGGAGGAAACTCTCTAGTCCCCGTGATGCCTGAATGTGTCCCACCCAGCTGCCCTCCTAACACTCGCTGAGTGACTTCAGAAGTCACACACAGAGGATGTGAACTCGTGGGGAAGACCTTTCCAAATGTCCCAGCTTCCCCCGATGCTGGAAAGAATGGATTGGGGATGGTTGGCCAGGAAGGAGGTGACACTGTTTGCCACCTTCTAGAATGGGGGTCCAGGGGATGTGTGCCCAGTGGTGAGGGAGCTGTGAGTATTTACCTCGATGGTGAGGTTCTGCAGGTGGTAAAGGTTCAGTAACCCCTGTGAGGTGAAATACTCGATGCAGTTGGGACACCCCAAGCCTGTTAGAAAACTGCAGAGAGAGTGTGAGAGATAAAGGGGTGTTAGTGTCCATGTCCACACTCGGTGCAGGCACGCTCCTTGCCCAAGTGCCCTCTGGCTGAGGCATTGAGCAGATCTGTGGCTCTTCTGGGCAGATGTGCACACAGCCCCTGTCATATCCAGCAGGGGACCCCTGTCTCTGTGCTTTTTCTTCCCCCTAAGTAAACTGTAAGGAACCCTGGTGGCACAATGATTAAGTGCTTGGCTGCTAACTGAAAGGCTTGCAGTTCAAACTCACCCAGTGGCTAGAGATCTGCCTTCCATAAAGATTGTTGTTGTTGTTGTTAAGTGCCGTCGAGTCGGCTCCGACTCATAGTGACCCTGTATAGGGTTTACAAGGAGCAGCTGGTGGATTTGAACGGCCGACCTTGCAGTTCAAACAGTATAGCCTAGAAAAATGGACTCCATGCCCCTAACAACAGCAAGCACGTTGTTTCCCCTGGACCTTCTCTTGACACCCACTGTCTCCCTGTCCTGAGTTGGCAGTGACTAAAAGAGAGGAAGAGGCATGCAGGGATGGCTGGGGGAGGGGTGCTCAAGGCCAGCTGACCAGGAGCCACTGACAGACTGAGGTTAGTGGACATAACAACAGCACAGAGCGCCAGGCCTGAACCCAGCTGCACCCTACCTACCTGACGAGACTGGAGTCGGCGTGATAGGGGGGAGGCGGGGTGCAGTGGGACCCCGAAACCATGGGCTGCGAGCTGTGTCCGCCATTCATCTCACCGTTGGACGGCATCGAGTGGCCATGGCTGTTGAGCATCCCGGGGCCTGGGTGAGAGGGGTACTGTCAGAGTGAGCAGACCCGTGTACCCTGTGCAGACTCCATCCAGGCATGCTACGGAAGGTTCTGGAAGCAGGGGGCGATGGAGCTTTCTGGGGCTGAGTCAGCACCACCCATTAGCCTCGCCTCCATCTCTGAGCCTATGGTGCAGGATGAGGTGCTGAGAGACTTGTTTGGGTCCTAACAGTGTCTGCCTTGCTCTGGGGCTCCGATGCAGGGGGTGCTTAACCTGTACCTGAGAAACACTGCTCACAGCACTGGTAATGTGACAGGCTGTGCCCACATGAGACTCTACCCCAGGAGAGCCCTCACCATACACTGAGCACCACACATGGCTCTGATGGGTGCTTCCCACCTTCATCATCTCAGCCCCACCTGAGGGTGTCTGACATGCTCATCACCATTTTGCTAATGGGGAAACGGAGTCTCTCAGAGGTTCAGAAACCACCCGAGGCGGGGCCCTCCACCTCTGAGATTGGGCCAGGATGTATCCTTCCTCATGCCACCCTCTGTTCCCATAGACAGAGGCGTGGCCCCCGCCCCCACCTCCACCCCGAGGAGGTTGTGAGTGGACGGAGGTTCAGATCTGTAATTGACAGAAGGACTCACCCACAGGCCCCAGGCTGGGCCCAGCCACTGAGCCATGCGGGGGAGGCTGGCCCACCAGCTGGTTGACGGAGGGTAGCTTGCTGGCGCTACCATGTCCCTTGCCCATGGGAGACAGGATGGGCCCATAGGCAGGGGTCTGCAGCGGGTTCCTGCTCAGAAAGTGACAGCTCGTTGGTCAGATATCAGAGCCTCCCTCATGTCCCCCACCCTGACTACTGCCCACAAGGCCCTGTGTGGCCAGCTCTGAGCTGAGACTCTGAGGTGGGCAGTTTCCTCACCTTGACCACTTCAAGTGCCCTCCCTACCTGCATGCTTTTGAGGAGAAACCCAACAGAGTTCAGTGTGGCCTGGGAGGAGCTCTGTCTCCTTGGTCTATGGGTGGCACCATCCTTCCCCCTAGGGGTCAGTTCTGGGCCAGTTCAGGGGGGGCCTGCCTCAGGCTGTGCAGCAGGAGCCAGGATAGCCCATGTCCAGGGAAGGTTTCTTGGGGAAGGACACCTCGTGGGGCCCTCTGTCTCCCTGCACACACTCCTGGTCTTTCCCCTGCTGCACGGGACCTGCCGGGCAGCGGTGTTGGCTGTGGCTCGGGCTGGGCGGCACTCACGGCCTCTGCAGGAGCTGCTGCTGCTGCTGCCGGTACGAATCCACCAGCTGCTGGGGCACCAGCTCTGTCAGCTCGAGACCCTCCTTGATCTTCATCAGGATCTCAAAGTTCTCCCGGCCCCGCACCTGCAAGAGAACCAGCCCTTTGTTGCCCGCCAGGATCCTTTGTGGGTGGTTTGGGCAGGACCCTGGCTGGCAGCCTAGGACTGCTCCCTCCACAGGGCTGTCAACACCAGGGGCCATCTTCCCTTCTTCCCCAGGAGCTGTCCTGGCCAGAGGAGAATGCCCACCTCCCCAAGCAGACTGTGTTCCACCTGCCCTGCCTTTGCCCAGAGCCCTCACCACTCCTCTTCCCAGCACTGTACAATGGGTGGGTCGGAGGCACTCAGCAAATCAAGGGTTTTTAAATTTGGGGCTCATTCAGAATTCAAACAATTAACAGCTCACAACTGATGATGAAAACTGCCGGGGTAGCCAGTGTCAGCCACCAGGTGAGGGTGGCACACACTGGGCAGTTTCTGATGGGCCACTGGGAGGGCGAGCTGCACGTTCCTGTCTTGGGTTTGTGGACTCACAACCACTAACTGGGGACTCGCTCCCATGCTGGTCCTTCCTTCTGGGCCTCCCTGTGGAACCCTGGGACCCAGATGTCAGAAGTGTGGGCTGCACCCTCCTCCCTGGCCACTCACGGGCATGTAGTACATGTCCTCATCCCCATGCCGCCTCTTCTTCACATTGGCCCCCAGAGACGGGATGGCTGGAGGGCTCTGCTTGAACGCTGGGAGGGAGGAAGGGGAGGCTGGTGAGTTGTCAGAGGAGGTGAGAGGGCATGTGAACGGGGATGGATGAGTGGGTACAGCTCACAGATCCTCAGGTCTAGAGAGTCAACCCTAAGGCAGACAAACCCCATGGCTGCCTATGCTGGATATACAGCCCTGAGGGTGAGCACTGGATGAAACTGGGACCGTGCCGGCCACATGCAGTGACCTCAGAGGGCCCTGAGCCCAGGGACGAGCAGTCTGTCAACACTAGGGGTGTGGAGGAAGTCTCCCTTGGCTCAGCAGGGATTCCTCACTTCCTTTGTATGCAGACTCAAGTCACCCCAGCTGGCATTTCACTGACCCCATGGCAGGTCCCACCCGTGCCTGGAACCCCTGCTCACTGCGCTTGCTGGCCACCCCACTCTTGGCGGCGCTCTCATTCAGGGCCTGCTGCTCGCGGAAGTGGTCTTCATCAGCTTTGCGGTCTCGGCCAGGGCAGGCACAGATGCGACCTTCAAAGGACCGACGGCCCAGCACCTGTCCACTGTGGGGCAGGCAGAGTTGGAACTGTGAATGTCCGGGTCCACCACACTCAGCCCTGCCCACTCCCCACAACTGCAGACCCCACAGGATGGGCTTAGGGGCCAGTGAGGGGAGTAGGCACTGCTGGCTAGACGGAGCCAATTCAGAAAGGTCCAAGACATCAGCCCAGACTTCGGGCCTAGCTCCCGCCTAAGCCGCCCTTGCAGGGCAAGGGGACATCCCTCCCTGGAAGCAGCCAGGTCTGATAGCCACAGAAAAATAACATGAAGGGCCCCTTTCTCAAACTCGTCCCAGGGCTCAGACAGCAATCCCTGTCCATGTCCACTGGCCCAATCCCCTCTCCCCATGTGTAAGCACTCACTCTCGGGTTTCCAGGGTGATGATGATGAGGATGGGCCGCCGGTTCATGCCCCCAACACAGCTGCTGTTGCACATGAAGTTGTACAGGATGGTGGTGAATTCTGTCCCCACCTGCACATGGGGAGGCAGGAAAAGCGCTATAACATCAGTTCATAGGCCCTGCCACCCACTGCTTGTCTGTCAGTGTGTTGTACTGAGGGGGCTTGTGTGTTGCTGCGATGCTAGAAGTTATACCACCGGTATTTTCAATACCAGCAGGGTCCCCCATGGTGGACAGGTTTCAACTGAGTTTCCAGATGAAGACAGACATGGAAGAAGGAGACACGAACTACTTCTAAATGTTTTACTGTTGTTGTTGTTGTTAGGCGCTATCGAGCTGGTACTGACTCATCGTGACCTATGTTTAGCCACTGAAAATCTTATGAATATCAGTGGAACATTGTCAGATACAGTGCTGTTAAGATGAAAAACTATGAATAATACCAGAATATTGTCAGCTGTAGTGCCAGGAGATGAGCCCCTCATGTTGGAAGGCACTCAGAATACAAGCTGTCTCCTCTAAATAGAATTGACTGTGGTTAAGTGAACAGAGTAAAGCTTGTGAGACCTTCATTTGCTGATGGGACACAACTCAAAATGAGAAGAAATGGATGCAAACATCCATTAATAATCGGAACATGGAATTTACAATATATGAATCTAGGAAAATTGGAAGCTGTCAAAAATGAAATGGAGCGCATAAAGATCTATACCTTAGGCATTAGTGAGCTGAAATGGACTGGTATTGGGCATTTTCAATCCGACAACCACATGGTTTACTATGCCGGTAATGACAAATCGAAGTGGAATGGTTCGCATTCATCGTCAAAGAGAACATTTCAAGAACTATCTTGAAGTATAATGCTGTCTGTGACAGGATAATATCCATATGCCTATAAGAAATACCATTATTTAAATTTATGCACCAACCATTAAGGCCAGTGATGATGAACCAACTTCCTCGGTCTGAAATTGATCAAACATGCAATCAAGATGTACTGATAACTACTGGGGATTGGAATGCAAAAGTTGGAAACATAGAAGAAGGATCAGTAGTTAGAAAATATGCCCTGGGTGATAGAAATGATACTGGAAATCATGATAAAATGTTGCAAGACCAATGACTTATTCATTGCGATGCCTTTTTAAAACAACATAAAAGGTAGTTAGACACATAGACCTCACTAGATGAAATACACAGGAGTAAAATTGACTATATCAGTGGGAAGAGAAGGAAAAGCTAATGAGCCAAAACAAGGCCAGGGGCAGACTGGAACACACCATAAGTTGATCATAGGCAAGTTCAGGCTGAAGCTGAGGAAAATGAAAACAAATCCACAAGACCCAAAATATGACCTTGAACATATCCTATCTGACTTTAGATTTGATGCATTCGACACTACTGACTAAAAACCAGAAGAATTGTGGGATGACATCAAGAACCTCAGACAGGAAGAAAGCAAAAGGTCATTAATTAGCAAGATAGAGAGAAATGACCAAAATGGACATCAGAACAGACTGTGAAACGTGCTCTCCAGCATAGAGATGCTAAAGCAAATGAAAGAAATGAGTAAGTAAAAGCGCCGAACAGACAGTTATAAAGGGCAACTTGAGAAGATAAAGTCAAATATTATAATGGAGTGCGAAGAGCTGGAGATAGAAAAACAAAAGGGAAGAAAGAACATGCTCAGCATTTCTCAAGCTGAAAGAACAGAAGAAAAACTTCAAGCCTCAACTTGCAGTGTTGAAGGATTCTTTGGGCACAATACTGAATGACACAAACAGCATCAAAAGAAGATGGAAGGAATACATAGAGTCACTGTATGAAAAACAAATGGTCAATGTTCAACTATTTCAAGAGTAGCATATGATCAAGAACTGATAGTACTGAAGGAAGAAGTCTAAAGTATCGACATAGATCTAGGTGCCAGGAATTGATGGAATGCAAATTGAAATCTTTCAAGAAACTGATGCAGCACTGGAGGCACTCATTCATCTATACCAAGATATTTGGAAAACAGCTACCTGGCCAACTGTTTGGAAGAGATCCATGTTTGTGCCCATTTCTAAGAGAGGTGACCCAGTTGACTGCAGAAATCAATATCATCAACATCACGTGGAAGTAATATTTTGCTGAAGATCGTTAGAAAAATGGCTGCAACAGTTCATTGACAGGGAACTGCCAAGCTGGATTCAGAAAAGGTGTGGAACTAGGGATATCATTGCTGATATCAGATGGATCTTTGCTGAAAGCAGAGAATACCAGAAAGATGTGTACTTGGGTTTATTGAGTACGCAAAGGTTTTCGATTGTGTGGCTCATGACAAGTTATGGGCACTGGGGACAATGAGTATTCTAGAACACTTAATTGTGCTCATGGTGAACCTGTACATAGACGAAAGAGTAGGAGTAGTCGTTGGAACAAATCATGGGGGTTCTGAATGGTTTCAAGTCAGGAAAGGTGTTTGTCGGAGCAGTATTCTTTAACCATACTTATTCAGTCTGTATGCCAAGCACCTAATCTGAGAAGCTGGTTTATATGAAGAAGAGCATGGCACCAGGATTGGAGAAAGACTCATTAATAATCTGCAATAAGCGGATGATACAACCTTACCTGCTGAAAGCGAAGAGGACTTAAAATATTTACTGACTAAAATCAAAGACTACAGCCTTTAGTATGGATTGTATCTTAATGTAAAGAAAACAAAAATTCACTGGACCGATAAATAACATCATGATAAATGGAGAAAAGATTGAAGTTGTTACAGACTTCATTTTGCTCTGATCAATCATCAACACTCATGGAAGCAACAGCCAAGAAATCCAACGACCTATTTATTACATTAGGCAAATCTATTGCGCAAGAGCTCTTTAAAGTATTCAAATTTAAAGAGTTTATTTAAAGTTTGAGGTGTGCCTGACCCAAGCCATGGTATTTTTAATAGCCTCATATGCATGTGAAGTTGGCCAGGGAATAAGGAAGACCATAGAAGAATCAATGCATTTGAGTTAAGGTTTGGAGAAAAAGATTAAAGATACCATGGACTGCCAGAAGAACAAACAGGTCTGTGTTTAAAGAAGTACATTAGAATGTTCCTTATTAGTCAGGATGACCAGACTTTGTCTCTCATATTCAACCATGTTATCAGGAGGGACCAGTCCCTAGAAAGGACATCATGCTTGGTAAAGTAGAGGGCCAGTGAAAAAGAGGAAGACCCCAACGAGATGGACTGACACAGTGGCAATAGCATTCAGCTCAAGAGTAACACAAATTTTGAGGCTACTCAGGACTTGGTAGTGTTTTGTTCTGTTGTGCGTAAGGTCACCATGAGTCAGAACCAACTCAATGGCATCTAGCAACAACAATATAGTCCCTGACATATGAAAGTAGAGTTCCTAAGCTAGAAAACTCCAAGACCTCACATCTAGTCCTGGCTGTGGGTGGACACGGAGGAAGGTGGGATCAGGTCCTTCTTTAAGTCCATTTGTCATTCATCCATCCTACCAACTATCCATTCCATCCAACCATTTATCCATCCATCATCCATCTATTATTTATCCATCCATCCATCCATCCAATCAATACATGCATTCACATACTACATCTTCACACTGTCTGAAAGGGCTCAGGCCTGCTCTTTGCTTCAGGTAGTTACAGTCCTGAGATCTTGTTGGCCAGCACATCGCCCCGACACAGGTCAGAAGACTAGCTCTTGAGGCTGTTTGGTGGGTGTTTGCACAGGCCTCTGTGGGCATATATTTGTTGTATACTGTGCACTCTTACAAGGTGTGAGGTGCTGGGATTGTGGCAGAGCTGGGATGTGAACCCAGAACTTTTGACCACTGGTTGCTGGGAATCACTGAACGGAGAGTCTCCACTGTCTCCCTGGTTCCAAGTGTGGAACACCTTGGCCTTTCACAGAATTACCACTAGGGGGCGAGCTTGTCCTGCTTTTCCCGAGGCTGACCAAGCATAGGGTGGGGCACAGGGGAGGCGGGGCAGCCCGAGGAGAGGACATAGCTTGGTCAGGCCCTGGTCCCCTAGACAGAAAGGGTAGCTCTCAGACTTGTGGCAAGGGAGCCAAGGGGGTTCTGGGTATAGAGGTGGAAGCTGAGGGGCATTTGAGGCACTGGGTATAAGGAAGTTGGGGACTCATCGTCTTGTCTTCCCTGGGAAGCCTAGCTCACCAGAATGGCCAGTCCTACCACTTAACAACAACCTTCATCCTGGCAACCCATGCCACCATCTCTTCAGAATTGTCACTTCCCTCCACCCCAGCCTCTCATCCCACTGCCCCAGCCCCAGCATTGTTGTTGTTAGATTTCCTTGAGTCAGTTCTGACTCAGAGCGACCGTATGCACCACAGAACAACACTGCCCAATCCTGCTCTATCCTCACAATGGCTGTGCTTGAGCCCATTGATGCAGCCACTGTGTAAGTTCATCTTGTTGGGGGTCTTCCTCTTTTTCGTTAGCTCTCCACGTTACAAAGTACGATATCCTTCTCCAAGGACTGGTCATTCCTAATAACATGTTCTAAGTACAAGAGACAAAGTACAAGAGACAGAATGCTTCTAAGGAGCATTCTGACTGCACTTCTTCCAAGATCAATTTGTTTGTTCTTCTGGTAGTCCATGGTACTTTCCATATTCTTCTCCAACACCTTAATTCAAATGCATCAATTCTTCTATGATCTTCCATATTCAATCTCCGACTTCCACATGCATATGACGCAACTGAACCCCACAGCATGGTGTCACCCAGCCCAAGGCCTTCTGCTGCCTCCAGTCAAAGCTGGACCCCACAGCCTCTCTGCACCCCACCTGCCTCCTACAGCCCCTTCCACTCCAGCCTTCTCTTACAGGTCTTCTTTCCTCCCACTGAGCCTGGTGAGTTCCTACCTGTGGGGGCTCATAAGGTACCATGACACTCTGCCTGCCGGTGACGGGGTCGTCCACGTACTGTGAGAGGTTGTTGCCCTCCACACGGATGAGGTGGCTGGCTGGGGCAGACTGTCCTGCAGGAGAGAGGAGGGGAACACAGCTTCAGAGAGTCACCTTGTTCCCCATCGTCCCCGGCTGGGATTCACTGTAGCACACTACCAGCTCCCCAGGTGGGACCTTGGAAGCTGTCCAGGATTGCTGGCAGAGAGGGGCTGCCCCACACAGTACTGTGGCATGTGCCAGACCCCTCTCAGACCACTGGCCCTGCCCTGAGGGCACTCTAGTCCTGTCAGAGTAGGAGGGCTGGGTCACAGGGGTGGTCAGCCTGCCATTACACAAGGAAGCACGGGGGAAGCCCCCCGGAAGCCCTCCCCACCGTCACAGTGATAGCTGAGCCGAAACTTGAAGCCCATTTCTAGGGCACCTGCTGCCTCTGTCTGAGGCGGGGACCAGCATCCCTGGGGTGGGTGGGGCCTCACCTTCGTTAAAGTCCCGCCCCAGCTCGTGGTTGGGGCAGCGCTTGACGACCTCGGTCACGTGTTCCGCCTTCTTGTAGACAGGCATGGCGCGGACGGCAGTGCCGGGGGGTGGGGGGCTGGATACCTTCATTTGGATGGGGCACGTCTTGGCGATCTGGCAGTATAGCTTCTTCAGCAGCGGGGAGTACTGCGAAAGGAGGGACAGGTCAGACTGCGGTCAGGAACCCCTTTATCAAGCTTTTTCCCCTCTGTAGCCCTCTTCTGCACTGACCCTCAGGCACCCATCCAGGCATCCAACTGATCAACCCGGACTTCATGCTAGCAGTGGCCAGCTACACAAGCCACCAACTTGCCTGGCCTGCCTCCTTCCACCCTCAGCTGGTACAGATGGCGGGGCCTTTGTCCAAGGAAACCAGAGCTGTAACCAGGATGCTCAGTGGTCAGGACAAGGATGGAGTCCCCTGGGCTCCATGTCACACAGGGTTGGGGCTGTGAAGTTCCCACCCACCCTGGAGATGGGCATCGGATCTATCCTTTGGGAGGGAGAGGCAATATTAACAGCAATATGGAGGTCAGCAGTCACCCCACCTCAGAAAGCAGGAATGACAGTAATCCATGTGCAGGTGGTGGGGAGGGGAGAGTGACACAAGACAGACAGGTTCCTGGCTCCTCTCAGACCGCGGGGCAGCCTGAATGGAGAGCATTTATGAAGTGCCTGCTGTGTGCAGTGTGCACATGATCTGGCTCTAACCCACATGTCTCTCATCTGTACCACCCAGCAACAGAGGCATGCAGTTGGTACTCAATAAGTGCACGCTGGCACCATACTTCCCTGGAGCACAAGGGATCCTCTAGCACTGAGGGAAACAGCATGTCCAGGCACAGGCCAGAGAACAAAGTAGTGATACCAGGGAGATGCTCAGAGGCCTCAGTGTGAAGGGCCAACCAAGAGGGCTTCCTGGAAGAGGTGGCACATGAAAATAATGGGCTGCAGGCTGAACACACAAATGGCAAGGGAGGCACTGAGCAAGGATGTGGGAGCCATCCATCCCGCAGCATCTGATGAGGCATTTATTATTTTCCAGGCCCTGGGTGGGAGCCTCCTCAACTCCAAAAATGTCAGACTAACCAGCGGCTTTTCCCCATTAGGTACCACCCTGAATGCCACAGAGCACCAGGTGTCAGGCAAAGGCTGAAGCCTAGCGGTCAGCAGTTGGATGGGGACCTTCTGGAACTGATGTTAGATTTCAGAGTCCCACCCCCACCCGACAGGGTCAGCAAAATTCTCTGGGGGCCAGAACTATAGAGATGCCTGAAAAAGAAAAAAAAAATCACCTGCCTGGGTCCTAGAGGTGGGAGCAGATGGACCTTGCAGGACAGGCCTGGACTGAGGTGGGGGAGTAGAAATGAACAAGGCCACAGCTAGGAGGAACCAGCCTTTGGGGTCTGATGAGGTCCCAGGCTCAGAGCACAGCAACCAAGAGTAACACAGAACAGAGCCCAGTGTGTATCATCAGCTGTTGTGGTGGGGACAGTCATTCTGGTTGTTTATTAGGTGAGAGGGACCTGGTTCAGATTGTTACATGGGAGTGGATGGAGGAGGGGTGGACAGAAAGAGTTGGAGTTGCATTAGGTGGGAGGACTCCAGGTCCCTCTCTGGTCTGACTCCCCGCCACCGCCACGGACCCTGTCTGCCTCTGCCTTAGTAAGGTGGGAGATGAGGGGTCATCCTGGCTGGCCAAGATTGAAGAACTCAGAGTGGGCAGCTCACCTGGCTCCCAGAGCAGCTTCAAAGCCCCTGTCTGGCTGGAGCCCTTCCTCCGAGCTTCTGCCTTCCCACTCCAAGCCTGAGACTCTACTCCCACTGGCTACCCCCCACCCCAGAGGGCAGGAGTTGAGGCTTGGGAAGCCCAGCTCCCACTTCTCCAAGCAACTTGGATGTCCTGTGGTATTCCAAAGGTGAACACATTGGGGTCCCTGGTCCCATCACCCTAGCTGGGACAGGTCAGTAGTCCTTAATATAAAGCCCGGATGCAGGGTACAAGATGTAGCCCCTCCCCTCTGGCTCGATGCCCCAGATATGGGGCGAGCAGGGGCTCCTGTGTCTGGGTTTCTTGGCAGAAGAGCTCACAGGAGAAATCTGTGTTCCCATGGAGAGACAGAAGCGCTCTGGGCAGAGTGCGGACGTTCCTGGGGCACCGGCTGAACGTCCTGTCAGCAGGCTGGGGCGGTGCTGGGAGCTGTCCCTGGTACCGGAAGGCGGCACTACTGCTGCCTAGTCTGGGCTGCCCTAGGCTTGGAGTCAGAGAGCAGCAAACACCATGTGGGAGTGTGAGGCACACAGGCTACCAGGCTCTGTCTCCGATGGAGCGAGAGGGAGGCACTACCTGCAAGCCTGGGAACCCCCTTCCAGCACCACAAGCAAGACCACCATGGTTCCTGGGCAAACCCACTCCCCCACAGGTCGTGCCAGTCCATGGCTGCACAAGGCAGGATTGGCTCAAGTGGCTTTTGGGGCAGACACCTGTGTGGGCAGCTACTGGCCGTGGTGAGGGGTTCAATCCTGGATGGAGCCCTGGTATAGGAATCTTTCCCTCAGCCCTGGGGTATGGGCCGGTCTCCCAATGTCTCTTCCTCTGGTGGCCTGTGTTGGGCCAGAGCTGGGAGAAAGCCAGACTGGGGGTCTGGGGGACAGAGAAGGGCTCCTGGGTCTTTCCATTCTGTGGAAGAGGTCATGTGCAGACTCTGACTCCCTCCCACCCCGTCCTTCCCCAGGACCGCTAGATGGATGTGTTTCAACAGATTCCGAGCTGATAAAATCTTATTTATCTTCGGCTGTTGACACAGAACTGTCTAGGCTTGTCTGCTCTGGGATGCGTGTGCTTCTCAGTACTTGCAGGAAATGATGTGCTCAAACACTGATGTGTGCCCGTCCCTCCCCCGATCGGAACCCCCCCCCCCCCTTCTTCCCCCACCCCCCCTCCCCCCCCCCGTCACCAACTTCTCTCCTGGAACCCCCTCCCCTGACCACCTCCACCCCACCCTGTCCAAGATGGGCTTGGCCCAGCTGGGAGCCCTGAATCCAGTGGCCTGCAGGGCGTCGAGAGGGCGGCAGGCGGGAGGGTGGCGTGAGCAGGGGTGCGGGGGCTGTTAATTTCCTTGCCCGCTCCCGGCAGCTGGGGTGCCCAGCACAGGCAGGTCTGGGCAGGAAGACAGGGGAGAGGTGATAATAACTTGTCTGTCAATTTCCCGGGACATGTAGTATCTTGCAAACCGCAAATACCGTTAACCAGCGTGGGTGAATCTGTTAGAACAAATTCTGGAAGACGTGGCCTGCAGTGGGGGCTCTCATTTTTTCATATGATTTTTTTATAGCCCACTTTTATCCACTTTCCCTGTGTGTGTGTTCATTTAGAGCCACAATCTTGGCCTGCTTTGGGTCACAGCCTCCTTGGTGGACCTCCCCAAAGCTATAGCCTTAGATCTCTGGAAAAGTTCCCAGAGCAATGCTTGAAACATTTGGCGTGGAGTTCTGTGGGCTCACACACCAATCCCCCAAATTCACAAGGGACCCAGGCCAACAACTCCTGGTGTGAAGTTTCCCTGGGTTTTTTTTGTTGTTGTTCCTCCAGAGGAGGGGGCTCTTTGGGGAACACATCCTTGAGATACTCTATCTCATATCCCCCAGCAGCGGGTCCTCTCGTCCCTCACTTTGTACCCTTCCACTGACGTGCCTGCTCCTTCCCCAGGGGCAGGTTCCCCAGTGGACATGGCGGGCGCCAGACCTGCTGGAGAGGGGGGGTTCTCTACTCCAGTATGGAAATGATAAGTTCTGAGTGATACCCTAAGGCCTGCTTCAAAGGACTGTCTGCTTCAATGAGACTGTCGTGCAAAGTTGTTCACAGCGATTCCACCTCCCTCACACAGCCAGGGCTCCCAATGCAAGGTGAGGACACCTCCATCTCAGACTTATTCTGTGACTCAGGCATCCAGGCTTTCTTCAGACTCTTGGGGTCCCCCCATCCTCCCACTTCCACACACCAACCTGGAGCACACACCCCCCCAGCCTCCACCTCCCCCATAAGCTCCACCCTCGGTTTCCTCTGCCCAGAGGTCTGGTTTTGACTGCAGGCAGCTGAAGGTGGCTGTCGATGGGCATTCTTTGCTGGCCTCTCCTCTGGTCTGGACCGTGGATAGAAAGCTCTGGCAGAGGTCCCAGCAGCATGACAGAGGGCTACCCGGCATGGTGGCTCTCCTCACAGTAAGGAGAGTGTGGGGGAAGACAGCCTCCCACGGCCCTCACCCTGCTCAGTGGCTTTGGTAAGAAGCCAGGGCTGCTGAGAGCTCTGTGGTCACCCATGGGGATGGGAAGTGTCACCTTCTGCTCACAGGACAGTCCTGGAGCCTCCAGCTGACCATGGGCGTCCTGTGCTGGACACTAATGTCAGTCCAGGGGCTAGATGGGACAGCTCCTTTCCTCCATTCCAGAAGATTCCCATGGACACCCTGGGGGCGGGGGAGAGGGGGAGGGAATTGTCACTAACTGAGTAGATGGAGGCGGTGGAGCTGAGCCCAGGAAGCCTCTCTGGAGGGCGAACAAGTATGGATTGGGTTAGCTCCAGCTGAGAGTCTGAAAGATGGGTCCTGTGGCCACCAGCCTTGGCCATAAGAGGCTGCAGAAGCCCCCTGAGTCAGGGCCACAGTTTGAGATACCCCTACTGGCCGAGGACCAGTGATGTTGGGATGTCTGCTCTAACTAAACTGCATCCCATTTAGCTGGGACAGAGCCCACGGTTTCCCTGAGGGGCACGGCTACTCCTGCCTGGTCAGCTAGTGGACATGTAGGGTGGGCAATTTTTCAGTAAATAGCTGGGTAGAATGGAAGTTTTCACTGAGCCTTACAAATAAATAGTCTGCAAAGCACCGGGAGCCGAGGGAGTCCTAATGGCCTACGAATTGATTAGAGAGTAGTGGCCCCCAGTGGGGCCTCAACCACAGACTGCCTGTTCTCTCTGGAGCCCTGAGACACCCTGTCGCTGGGTTCCTTTGGGCAGGGATTCCGAGGAGATGGCCATCTTGCCCAGGTCCTATGACTGTGGTAGAGGATGAGGGCCTAGGATCCCAGGGTAACCCTCGGCTTGCGGTTACTGTGTGGTTTCCCCAGGAATCCCTGGGTGGTGCAAACAG